TAAAGAGAGACATGGGTGTGTGTATAGCGTTGAGCTAGGATACTATCAATAGTATCCAACATGAAGATAATATCAACCAATTTTTTTAATTGAAACCCAAAGTTAAAAATTCGAACAAGTGTATGTGATCTACTATACATGAACTATCTGGAAATAAAATTTTAGAGGATTTTAACATCATTAACTCATGCATAACATGTCGTCAAAATCAACCTTCCAGAATTTTCATAAAGCTGCTTAATTTCTTGCCTCTTGATATATGATTCAAAACATGTCGAACTTCTCTGAAATTTTGTTTCTAGATAGTTCATGTGTAATAGATCAATCCACCAGTTTGGATTTTCAATTTTGGGTTCTAATTTTCAAAAATTGACTGATAGTACCTGCATGTTGGATGCTATTGACAGTAGAATACACACACACATATATAGAGAGAGTATTTGAGATAAACTACTATTAATAGTATCAAAGGTTTGAATAGCATGGTCAAATTTAAATTTTGGATTTTCAAATTGAAATTTATACTGTTGGATGTGATACGTTACGCATGAACTATCACATAAACATAAAAATCTAAAGATTTAGAAGTGTTTCTAATAATTTATCAAGAGGTATAAGATTATTTGATTTCATGAAAATTATTATGTTTTAATTTTGACAACACAAAATGCATGGTTAAAGCACATCTAAAATGTTGATGATTTTATTAAAAAATAGGTGATGTGTAGTAGATCATAATTAACTGTGCGGATTTTCGGCTTAGTATTTACTAATGTAGATTGTATACATGTGTCTTATATATACATGCATTGTGTACCTCAAACAAATGTGTAATCTGAGAAGCTATTATATTTTGCAATATAAGGTATCCATGGAGAAATTTTATGTGTATAAAGCTTTAGGCTATAGCGAAATAAAACAAGTATATAGCTCGAGGCTATAGTGAAACAAAACCTCTCTAACACAGAGGCTACTGCATGCTTTCGCTCAACCTGACGACACCTTCTCTCACCACTTTTTAGTGCCCAAATGTAGAAACATACCCTTCCGTCCTAAATTTTCTTCCTTCAAACCGAGATCCTTCCAACTGTTCCTATTTTAGTTGTTCACCACTTCAAAAAGATAGACCACATCCAATTATCAAGCACTCTGCTCATCTAATTTCATACCAACAGCTTCCTGTAAAGCCATAGGGTTGATTTTTTCTTTTCTGGCAACTCAAGATGAGTCTGGGATTGAGAGAACCAAGCCTAAGCTAAATGCAAGGGGAAATTCCTGTTAAGGTTTCAGAAAGAATTTTCAAGTAAAATATCTAGCAGAATGAGGGCAAGGCAGAGCGGAACAGAATCATGTGCAAATGTAATGGAGTTGATTCTTCTCTGCAATGCATATCCTTACTGAATTAGAAAATTCTCACCAAAAAATAATTATTTAATGTCGATCCAAATGTTGCAGAAAGAAAAGGAGTTCCAAGCATGCATGGAGACCCTAGAGGGCAGAAGATTCTTAAAGGCTATAACAAAGTTAAAAGTTCAGTCAATCTCAGAGCAAAAGTTGCCGGAGAAGGAACACTAGCATCCTTACAAATTTCATATGCAATACCGAAAGTCTTCTAATGACAAAAAACATGCTCTCTGAACTCCGACGTAAAAGAGGACCAAACAATCACAGACACAAGATCAATTATCTGAGCACACTCAAGAACTGCCTAGCGCCATAGCAAACCCATGCAGTTGGAGCGGCAAATTGCCACATTTCATGAACCGCCGCGACAGCTTTTGTTTCCAGCACAACAACTTCACCTTTGCTTATGTAGTAGAAGCAGCATTTTCATCAAGTTATAATGGTAATATCAGCTCAACACATTAAGTTTCAGAGCAATGTGCATATTTTGACTGTTAGGACTAGACCTACAATCTAATTGAGCTACTTACAACAGATATCAAATCAAATGGAGGGTTTGAAAATAATACCATTCCTCCATCAACTTAGTCTTCTCTTCGATCGGAATCGTCGGCGAGTACTCCAACGGATGATAATAATCATACAATGCCTGCCTTTTCTCATCATACTCAGTATTCCCCTGCTGCAACAACCCATGACTAGCTAATCCCCACACCAACAAAAAAAACCCAATCAAATCCAAAACCCCAAAACAATTTTAAAAAGAAAAGAAAAGAAACAATCTTTTCCTAATCAAATACATTACTCTGTCCACGTCGACCGTTGATCGAGTACTTGGTAAGCGTCCCATCGAAATCAGCAATCACCTGCAGCTTGCTCGCGCCGGCGCTTCGAATCGCCGCCGTCTTCCTCTCGAGCGATTCCCGATCCCTAATCACGGCGTTTTCGCGAGACATTGCGGTCGAAGCTAGGGTTTTGCGGTCTCGGGAAGAAAAAACCCTAGAAAAAGTGTATGCAGTTGAGGTGTCCGAGATATTGCGCGAGAGAGAGGCATTTAATGGCGGGATTAAGTGAAGGATGGGTAAGTTGGTGAGGGCTAGAAAATCTCCGGGCCTCATTTGATGATGGGCCGGATGGAGGAATGGGGATCGTTGCTTCTTGTTTTGTGATGCATAAAGGTTCCCTTTTTTTTTGCTGCCTTTTTTTTGGCTTTTTTAACTTTCCTTTTATGATTTATTTTTCAAGGAAATTAGAGGTGGGGTTTGATTCGTTAACGATATGGAGATGCGATGAAGAGCTGTTGGTGAGTATTAAGAGAGCATGTAGGAGTGACTTTAAGCAACAAAAACATGTACAATGTGTTTTATGGAGGATGGACAAAATTGTACAAATGGAGTTTTTTCTTGGGAAAATTGCTTGTAGCAACTTCCAAAAATAATGTTATGCATCATCGTCCCCCGCAAAAAGTCTCATGCTACCCAACCCTTATACAGATAAATTTGTGCAACTGCCTCCCCAAAACTGTATAAGCTCACAACCCAATAAGTCATTACCCAAAATACCCTTCCCATTTAAAAACTAAACAAATATGGCTCCTCCTTCCACCTTTTTGCGCGATTCTCGAGATCCTCTATCCTCTTCTTCTCAAAATACCCAACCGCTATTTCTCATCACATCTGCCCTCTTCTTCTCAAGATCTCGCTCCGCCGTCGCCGACAAGGACCCCGATCGCTGACCGCAAGCTATTCGTCTTTGACCCCTACAACGACATAGCAATTTAGTGAGCTCCAACTTCATCTTCGGCTTCGCCCCCTTACAGCAAGATCAACGAAGCTACCACCGCCGACAAGGACCCGCCGACCGCAAACTCATCGTCCGCAGCCATTGACCCCAAACTCTCTTCTTCACAGTGTCTCAATTGAACCAAACCCTCAATTCGAAGCCCTCGTTTTTTGGTGAAAATCTAGGATAGCGAAATCAAGTTCATCATTTGAATCATATGAATCAACAACAAGAAAAGATGAGTTGTAAGTATCCATTGTGAATTTATCATTGAAAATTATCCACAATTGTAAGTAGAGTCATGTTATTTTCTCTTGTTTTTACAGTAAGGGTGATATAAGAATATGTGCAAATATACGTGGTTACTATGAATTCATGAAAAAAGTTGTTCCACGAATTAGACTGGATCATTAGAAGGCTTATGGATCCTCTAATTTTAAACTTATATTAGTTTTGAAGCAATTCCATCAGACAGAGACACAATCATGCTAGTGATTAATCATCTTGATTTGGCTACTGGAAACTTCTTTTTAACGATAGCCAAATGAGAAAAAAACAAGCGTATACATTTGACGTATATTGGGTGCAAAAGCAAACTCGGTCCTAGGATGAAGGGAGAAATCGGAAGTGAATCGTGATACGGCGAATAGGATTTGGGTTACGTCCTTCAATAAGAAGCAAAAAAGATGCTTACAAAAGTAGATATAGACTCCAAGTGTATGAATGAATGCACCGTGAATATGTTCAAGTATATGACTTGTATAGATGTAACTGATATTTACCCATGGGCGACTATCATATATAATAAAGTGTGGGATTCTCTAAAAGCTGCAAAGATAGCTAAAAAGGGACAGACGTGCCTAAGTGGTTGTGTTCCCTTACTATCAGTGAGTTATTTGTGATATTTATAGTCAAAATGTAACATTTATCTGTCATTTGTGATATTTGTCACTTACATATGACATATGTTATTGATATGTTACATTTATTTGTGATATTTATAGTTAAAATGTGACATTTGTCTCTTATTTGTGATATTTATCTTTTACATATAACGTATGTTCCTGATATATGACATTTGTGATAGCTTTAATCTGTAATAGTTTAATCTGTGATACGTGGTATGAAATGAGCTGACTTCATTGATTGATTGTTGATTTTTTAAAGCTATGGTACTATGAGATCACAAACATCAAACAATACACCAAAGTCAATGATTTGAAGCCATTAGTGAGTAACTAGACTTTGGAAGGTAAGAAAGTAGGTTCATTGCGAAGTGCAACAATTATGAAAAGTCGGGAGCCGTAATCCACATCTTATCGGAGCAAGATATGTCGCAGTACATTCATAAGGAGATCAAGGGGGAGCCTACAACAAAGAAAGCTAAAAGAGAGGAGAAATTAGATTCCGAAAACTCTTTAAAAAAAGAAAAGAGTTAAAAAAGAGGAAAAGAGTCAATCCACTATTGCGTGTGTTAGATAAGTTTAATTCTTACCATGCGATATTTATATTTTGACGGTGATAATAGTCTTTTTTTTTATGTGTTTATTGTTTATTTCATGTGACTCTTATATGTGGGCTGTGATAATAAGTGGTATTCTGTGATATTTACCTTTTTTCTGTGACATTTACATGTAGACTGTGATACATTGTTATATATGATAATTGATTATTCCTTGTGACATTTACTAGTTGATTGTGATAAATATAGTGTTTTTGTGATATTTATGGTAGAATCAACTTTCTTATATGTGAAATTTATATGTGACCTTCTTATATGTCGCATTTGCTCACTAAAACTTAATTGTTAATGTAGAATGAAGCTTATGAGAATCTATCAATGTTGAATGAAGCATATAAGCAATAACTTGTTAGAGTCGGCATTGATACAAAGGCCACTAAGGTCGATATTGAAAAAATGTTTAGGCAATAGAAACAAGAGAGAAAAGAAGGAGGAGAGAAAAGATGAGAGTAGAGGAGATGAGGAGGTAAGAAATATTCTCCTATTTCATGTACTCCTTTGTTCTACAAAATATTCATTTTTATTGTAACATTTATGCAGCCTGAGGTGGAGTTAGAGGGGAAAGATGAGTCAGAGATAGAAGATGACCACGGAAAAGAAATGGAAGAACATAAGAATGACCGAGTAGATATAGACATTGAAGTTGAGGAGGTAACAATTTCCTATGACTTTAACTTATTTGTGACACTTACATAAATCATGTGATAATTACTTCTTACTGTGATTTTTACATATTACATGTGACAATTACTTATACTCTATGACAGTTACTTATTTCCTGTGGTTCATGCATATTTTTTGTGATATTTACAAAGTTCTTGTGATACTTTCTTATTATTTGTGACAGTTGACCCTTTCTTGTGACATTTGCTCATCTTATGTGATAGTTACTTTACTTCTGTGACTTAAATAATATGCCTAGGACATTTTCTTATTATTTGTAATAGATAAATTCTACTTGTGACATTTGCTCATAATTTTGTGACCCTTAATAATTTTTTGTGACATACACTCATTAACTGTGATCTTTATATAGCCTGTAGATGTGAAAGAATTTTTTAAAGGATACGAGCAAAGTGCTAGATAACAACAAAGAAGCCTAAGTTCTTGGATTCTCCATTCCGAACAGCTTTCCCTAACAAACGAAGTAAAGTGAAGAAAGCTCATGTCATGCTGGAAGATGACTATGACAAGAGGGAGAAGGAAAAGGAGAAAAAACTTGTAATTGCATATGCCGATACGAGAACATCTGTAGAAGACTTATGGAGAAGAGAAAAAACTGGAGAAGAAAAGAAATCATTGTATATATTATATATGGGCATTCCTTTTCCATAAGACTTTGATAGCAGGCTCCCGGGAGTCGTTGATGACGGATTTTATCATAATTTTACTATTCAGAATCTACTTCATTTTACTGATGATGAGAACAAGTGGCTTCAACATTTTCTGGCATTAAAAGTGGACAAGCAAGTATCAAGTAGTTATTTATGAATTTCATATGAGATACTTACATATAGTATGTGATAACTAGTGGTTTTATGTGACCTTTACCCGTTTCCTGTGATATTTACATATAGTCTGTGATGATTAGTGGTTTTATGTGATCTTTACCCATTTTTAGTGATATTTACATGTAATCTATGATGATTAGTTGTTTTATGTAACCTTTAATTGTTTCCTGTGATATTTACATATAGTCTGTGATAATTAGTGGTTTTCTGTGATACTTATACGTTGATTGTGTTATGCATATTATCTAGAAAGAGGACTGTTTATGAGATCGGCAACCACATTATAAATAGATATGATATGCTTCATCTGTTACGTGGTGGAAGATTAAAGGACGATGTATTATTGTATTTAACTTATGGTGTTATTCAAGTTTGTTACTTTTACATTGATTTTATTGCACTTGCAATCGGTGGACCGTTGAAACATTATATATATGTTGTAAGATTTAGAAATGGCTAAAGCTACTAGAAATGTGGATATGGAAAGAAAATTTATAATATCACATCATATTTAAGTATGGATAATATCGATCATAAAGCTTTTACAAGTAATGTTGCATTTATATGTTATTTAACATTCTTCCTCTTCTTTTTCTTATTTGTTTTATAGATTTGGTTGCTAACTAATTCAAAAGTGGACGAGAAAAATATATATGAAAAGTATATAAAGTAGCACATAGATGATGGGAAGGAAGTTCTATTAATTCCAATATGTCACGCTTGTAGGGTCAAAAAAATATATGATTGATTCTTGTTTTAGGAATGAGTTCTATTACTTGGTAAGAATTCCTTACAATCACTCTCTCGAGTACAGAGGAAGAGAAGATTAATTTGATTTCTCTTTTGTTTCAAGTGGGTTCTAGATGGTGAAAAGATACCTCACTCGATACTCAAGTCGAGTTTGCTTCCCGTTGACGATCAGATCAAGATCGCTTCAACTCGAAAGAAGAATTAACCTCTGTTGATGGCTTTAATAGTTAGAACCGAGGTTTGGGTCTTCAAAGAACGTGAGTGCTAGCCTTGGTTTCTTGTAACTGTGCTCGTGATAGCTTTTTCATAGATGCTTGGGGCTATTTATAAGCCATTATCAAGTAACTGACGTGCTGAAATCGTGGGTAGATTGGCATAACTGCCTCCTGCAATTTAGCCCATGTTGGCTGACTTGGTCCTCATGACCGTTACAGCCGAACTTCGTGTGGATGACGAGCCTCATTGCGTGGTAAGATTCATCAGATTAGACGAGCCTCGACACGCAGCGAGGTTCGTCTAATAAGGCAAGCTTCATAGTATGGTAATTTTCTCTTGACGAACTTTGTCTTCACTGACTTCGTTTGACGAGCTTTGCCTTCACTGGCAAACTTCGTCTTCAATAGCTAAGTCCAACTACCTGTTTGGGGAGAAAGTTGATGTCTTCATTGATGTAGTCATTACAACTTTAGTCGTTACAATAACAATAAAAAGATAGTCTTTTTATAAGACCCTTACATAATGAAAAACAAAAAAAGTACAACTCTCGTCAAACAGCGCAACGGGTGTTTATCGCCCGTTGCTTATGTAGGATCTTAGCCTGTGACGGGGATATTGATATCCGTGGATCACTAAACGATCAAATCAGATCCGGAGGTTCGTTGATTCGCGAAGGAATCAAGAAGCTGAAGCAATTATCTCAGCAACGGTGAGATAATCACTCTTCTCGAGATCACCACAATGGGGTAATCTCAAGGTAAAGGACCGGGACGTGTAGATCTAACGAGCTCCTCTTCTTTATGCCGACAAACTTGATTCGATCTCGACCTCTCTTCTAAAATTCGTGCTCCTTTAGTCTTCAGTTTAGCAGGGCTTCGTCACGCTCGTGAATTCCAGATTTAGAAAAATAAAGGCCCTAGGGCTGTATTAATAGGCTTAGGGACCCCTGTTTTTGGATAAGAATGATCGATTCGATCTTATCTTTAGTTGTAACCACTTAACCATGTTCTTGGATATTATTCTATCAGTTAAAATAAAATCCAGATGGTTAACAATCGAAAAACAGCTTTAAACTGCCAAATTTTAGTTTTTCAGGTCTGCGAACACCCGTGGGTGTCTCGGCGTGGCCGAGACACTTGTGAGTGTCTCGGCCTGCATGGGTGGTCTTGCCTAGCCGAGACACTACCAAGCGGGTGTCACGGCGAGGCCGGAACATAAGTTTCATCGACAGCGTTCTGTCGCATCTTCCCTCCCATATTTTGTTGTCTGAGGACTTAGAATTGGCGTGATTCAAGAGTCGCGTTGACAAAAACGCGACGGAGTATTCTAGTAAGCTTCCATGATTGAATCACATCGTGGAGTAAATAAGACCTGAGGGCGCTCTTCGTCTTTTGTAAATGACACGTAGTTCCGGCGATCAATTCCGTGTTTGTATGTGGTTATTGCTGAAGTTCGCGTTGGCTTCACACGGTTTCGTCAGACTCACTTTCATGGCAGTTATAGTCGTCAAATGAGTCTTCTGTTGATTAAATAGTAATGTTCCATCATCTTCTCCCATGCTCTTGTCTTGAGGCCGACTGGCCGGGGACCGTATAGGTATTTTTTGATGAGCCCTACAGATACCCATCCAAAGTGTTTTCAGTCTTATTTCTTTATATAGATGAAGATCCTAAAAATACTTTGGATATAACTGCGGTCGCATAACCTTCATCGGTATAAAGGAGCCTGTAGTATAGCTTTGATTATTGAACTCCTTTCGATTTTTAGTCCTATTTGATATTTGACGATGAGCTAAAGTTGCTACTCGGCGCTGTGTTTTAATCGTCTGCCGTGCGTCGAAGTCTTGATCAAAACTGGTGAGCTTAATATTTGTGGCTCGTGTTATGTGAGTTGAACTTAGAACTGACTATCTCTGTGCATAATATATATTGACTTGCCATTTGAGGGCTACTTCATCGGGCAACGCGTTGATTACGTTGACCTTAGTAGGATCGTTAGGATTACGTGTTGACCGACGTTAAACTAGGTTTCAGGATGTCAGCCCGAACGTTTAACTTTTCATCTAAGCCGCTTGACATAGCGTTGACCTAGGGGGTTATGCGTATGCATCGTTAAACAAAGGGTTTTAGGGATCGCCGCGCGGAGATTGACTGTTTCATTATAAACGCCGTTGAACTGGCGTTGATAGATATTTACCTAGGGTTTCAGATCACCCGACATTACTTTTAATTCAGTACAACGTAATTAACTGGGGCGTTGACCTACGGGGTGTTACGCTTATTGACAGTGTTAACCTACGGGGTTTCGATCGGCCGTGTGATGCTCATGCCAACGACGGCAGTTGACTGGCGTTACCTAGGGTTGACACATTGGACCGGTTTGTTAACCCTAAGCGGTTTCGATCCACCACGTGTTGTCATGCTTTCATCAGCAACACGCTTGACGACGGGTGTTGACCCTACGGATTACATATTGATCGTGCTGTTGAACGCTTAGGGTTTCGGATCGCTCCTACGACTTGACTTTTCTCGTCAAAGACGCTTGACTGACGTTGCACTGGTTCATCGTAAAGCAATGGTAGTCTCAAGTGTTGAGGTACAGGCAGCCAATTATTAAAGCTGATTGACTCGTAAGTATGGATCCTATCAGACTGAATTATTGATGCTCAAGCACAAGACGCAACTAATGAAAGCTGGTGCGTCATTACTCTCACATATAATAGGATTTTTAGCCAAATCCCCTCAGCCATGCAACGGGTTTGATGAGCCTTTAACTGACTACGCGTTTGAGTCGGACTAGCCATGTGGATTGTTTAAGTTCTGTCCGCATGTAAACGTCATGTTTAAATAGAGTTAAATTCTTTTAGTGCTAACGATATTGAATAGCGTAGACTTCGTCTTTCCTCAGCGGGAATACGACTACCCGCCGTAATCGGTGAAAGACTACAACCGGCAATATGTGTTAGACGTTTGACATTATCCCTACCTTATGATTCAGGAAAATTGCCGCGTACTTGTGAGACACGGAATTATGGCTGTTATGAATAAAAGCGTTCTGTGCATAATCGTTGAATATTATGGCCTTTTGTTCTTTTTTACGATCAAGAACTAACTGGGCAACGCGTGTTAGGCGCTGACATTAATCCCTACTTAGCTTCGGCATAAAAGTCCGCCAGACTCGGATTCTGGTGTCTTTTTCATGGGTGGAAAGACTAAACGGCAACTGCGTGGTTAGGCGTGTTGACTTATCTTTTACTTAAGGATTCGGATAAAACAACCTGCCAATAATTATTGAATATGGTGGCTTTAATTCATTTTACATTTTACCGTCGAAGGAACTAACCGGACAAACACGTGTTAGCGTGGCTGACTTATACTCTAACTTAGGCTTCGGGAATAAAAAGTCGCGCCAGAATTCGGATTCTGTATCGTTTTTTAATCGGGAAAGACTAAACGCGGCAACCGGCGTGTTAGGTTTGACTTATCGCCTACTGTAGGATTCGGGATAAAATCTCTGGTGCGTGGTGAGTACAACAGAATTATGGTGTCTATGAATAACAACCTCGCACACGATGATTGAATATGTGGGCTTTTATTCTTTTTATGGTTTAAGAACTGAGCCGGGCGATACGCATGTTAGGACGCTGACTTATCCGTACTTAAGGCTTCAGGATAAAAATCCGCGCAGACGCTCGGATGTCTGCGTGTCTTTTTCAAGTCGGGTGAGACTACAACGCAACACGTGTTAGGCGTTGACTATATCCCTACTTAAGGATTGCGGATATAAATTCCTCGTGAGTGTGAGACAAGATTATGGTCGTTATGAATTAACAACCTGTCATAATGGTTGAATTATGTGAGAGCTTTGTTCTTTTTATGGCTCAAGAATCAACCGGCAACGGCGTGTTGAGGTGTGACTTATCTGACTTAGGTTTTGGGATGATAAGTCACCATGCGTGCCGAGACAAGGATTATGGGTGTTATGATAACAATCAGCGCACAATGTTGAAATATGTGGGCTTTTGTTCTTTTTTACGGACACCCCAGAATAACCGGTAACGCAGCGTGTTAGGGGCGGGCTTGACTTATCCCTACTTAAGTTTCGGGATAAAAGTCGCCAAGACTCGGATTCTGGTGTCTTTTCAATCGTGAAGACTAA